TGTTTGTGTGTATATATATATATATATATATATATATATATATAAATCACATTCTTATTTGGACAATGGCATTCCAACTTTTCATGTTAATCTCTATGTTTAATGTTAAAAAAAAATGTTGCTAATGTCTCGTTGGGTTATGCGCTGGTAATTAAGACTTTGTTTGAAGCATGTTAGACCGTGGCGTAACTAGGGTAATTGCTACCTGGGGCGGGTCACATTTTTTGGCCACCCCCTTCCCCCTCGTAACAATCGTGTAGTTGTGAGAGAAAAGGCTCAATCTCCATGTAAAATGTAACTACTCGCGGTCGACCCCCCCCCTCCGGACCAACCCCCACCCCCACCCTACTACGCCAATAATGGTATAATGTAACTTTGGTTGCCATGTTGTCACTGTCCGATGGAATGGGAAATCGTATGGAAAAATTGTGGTTTTTCTTTCCCCAGCGCAGACATCGACCAGGAAGCCATGAACAGAAAAAAAAATCAAATATTCTTTTACAGGGACTATCAATGAACCAATCGCATTTGACCACCTCACTATAAGAAAATCAGAGAAGCTAGACTAGACTACACACGAACTAAGGGTATTTGATCAGCTCAATAGAACACCAGAGAAGCTGGACTAGACTACACATGAGCTAAGGGTATTTGGCAAGTTAACTAGAAAATCAGAGAAGCTGGACTAGACTACACATGAGCTAAGGGTATTTGACCAGTTCACTAGAAAATCAGTGACTTGTCTCGACTAGAATATATCTAATGCTACTTGACCAGCCTTGTAGACAATAAAAGCAAAGTGAACAATCAGGTCGATGAGAGATCAATGACAAGTAATCAGATAGATACCTAGTAGGATCTGATGATTTTTATTTTATTTTTTTTACCAGAGGAAAGGTCAGCTTCAGGTATCGACAGGTAAAGAAAAACCAATAAACCCTATCACTAGTTGATCATCGAAGCCGGGTCACATCACTAGTGCATCACTGAAGTTTGACCCCCCCCCCCCCAATCCCTTGTACTGAATCATTAAAGCTGAATTCGATCACAGGTGAATCAATAAGATTAAATAAAAAAATTGAATAATTTAAAATTGAAATATATATATATATATATATATTTTTTTTTTTACAGTAGCTGATGGGTCAATCGGACCACGCTTTGCTACATGTGAACCACTGCGGTTGAAGTGGATCGCTAGTGTACAAAGAAAAAAAACAACTAATTGTGATTCGATGAAGAAGTCCTGCGCCCCCACCCCTATCCCGCGTTTATGTTGTGCTTAGTTACACCATGAAAGTTAAATGGGGTCCCAATAATCCTTCAAATCAATCCGCATTTCATTAAAAAAAAAAAAATCGTTTCCTAGCATATAAGTCAATGGTGAATGATGCATTTTTTTTTTCATTTTGTGGCCAGGGCAGAATTTTTCTTATAGGTTGGTATATGGTATTACAGGAGAATTTTTGGTGTTGTTTAAATTTAGGTTAGATGATCTGTGATGATAAAGCAAGAGAGTCGGTTCAGTTGAGAAGTTTCATCAGTGAACCTGTAAGCTTCATTTGATCACCAGTGAATCGTTTGGCAAGGAGAATTTCACCACCCAGGCGACCGAATAATCCGAGGAACCAATCAAATATCCCACCATCAGTCATTCGACCAATGGAAAGTGGCGAAGACCCAGAATTGATCCAATCAGATGCGAGTCTTTAATAATTCACAATTAAACAAAGGGAGGCTAGCGTCGCATTCTATAAATAGACTGCGTACTAAAACTGAATGCGTGATACGGTGCAGCATGGTGACTTAAATTAGATGCTCAACTTGATTCTTTAAGGAATTCATAATCCAAAGGTTTAATAATGCTATATAAATATGTCAACAAAAAATAAAAATAATAATAATAAAAAAAAAATAAATAAAAAAAAAATAACAGACAACAAAACAAACCAACAAACAACGTATTGTATGTCCAGACGGCTCGATATAATATATCTGATCACGTCAACCACGAGCACACACTCATGGTATCCTCAAGAGAGAAAAAGCATTTCATTAGCGCTACGAATTATCCCGTCATGAAATCACGTGCCCTTTAGTAAAATTGACGATGTTAGCTGGCATAGGATTCACCAGAGAAATTCTAATTGAATTATACACACACACACATATGTATAGATAATAAAGCTACTAATGAATCAGTAAAATAAAATCCCAAATACTGGTGAACCGGCGATTAAAAATTTATGTATAATCATCCTACTAGGGGTAATGGCGGAAAATAAAATTTGTAAAAAAATATATCTGTTTTGGTTAAAACCAATAACTACGGTATATACGGTAATTATTTATTTCACTTTTTAAAAAAATAATTATTGTGTAAATGTAAGGATTCTAACGTTTTTACAAGTGGGGGGGGGGGGGGGGGGGGGGGGGGGGGGGGTGCTTGAGACTTGGTAACCTTGGCGCCTGCTCCACCCCTATCACCAATGAGAAAATTTCAGCAATCTTAATCTTAAAAATTTGTTTTGTTTAAAAAAAATAAATGAAATAATGATGATAATTCAGCAGCAAGTGCATCAGTGCAATCTTTAAAACAAAAAAACAAAAAAGTCTTTGGTCAATTAGCGTCATGTTTTGAGGGTATAGCTGTATGAAGACTGGGTCATAAACATGGTGTTTAGAGATTACGTTAATAAAGAAGCAGGATTGTATCTCACAGATAGTGTCACGTCAGCACAATCAGGGAAAGTGTCATAAGGTCTAAGGGACTGGGGGAGTAATAACTGTTGGGACCTTCTAATTGTGGTAGAGAAAACATAATTTTAAAAAAAAAATGCATTTTTTTCCTTGCATGGAACAGTGCATTAATTTTAATTTCGCCTTATTTATAATTGAATAGAAGGCGAAGTGTATGTAGGCTTATTTAAAAAAAAATTGTTTTAATTGTCCAGTAAATAATTCAAGAGCTAATTCATTGATTGAAATTAATAAAAAAAAATAAAAAAAATTAAAAAAAATTTTTTTTTAAAAATTATATTGATTTTTTAAGACAATCAATAACCAGTTTTTTGTTTTTTTTTAACTTAAAAGACCAATATTGGATGCCTTCAACAAAAATCAGACAAAATATAAAAAATAAAAACAAACAAATAATTTATGTCAAAAAGGGTTCAACCTGCAAAACTGTAGAGTGCATAGCATCATTTCATCTGAGCAACACATCATGGGCGCATCCAGAGAAGACAATTATTGGAGGAAGGAAACACAAATCATGGGGGCACAAGTGAAATCCTTAAATAAAAAACTTTGCCTCCTTGCGTGTAAACATCTTTGTGTTCATGACTTGGGGAATCTCAATGTCCACTGAACCAAACAATCTCGGCTACCCCAGGTTTTAACAGTTAACTATATGCTACTAAATTCTTATATTTTATCTAAAAAAAAATTAAAAAATTATAACATTATTTCGAAATTCAGAATCTTTGCAAATCTGCAGGAACCCACGGATGGGTATTTTGGACCATGGTCAACTGGGTTTGCCGTTGTCATAGTTACATACATTTCCATAGACATGAAGTCAGTGAAATGGGGAGTCTGTATTTATTTAAAAAATAATGTCCAGGGACTGCCATTGTTATGGCCCCGTTGTGGTGTTTGTTTGCTTGTTTAGAATTCCTTGAAAGCCGTTCCAGTTCGAAGCTTAGCGTTCGTTCAACTTCTGAACCTTTGTCATGCTTCATATTGCAACACGGGGAGAGAACTTCAGCGTTCTCAAACACTTCCAATTTTTTAAAATTTTTTTCCACCGAATCTTTAAGATCCCATGGGGATTCCGAGACTGGAGAACAGCGAATCTTATTCTGAGGGCAGAGCGAGGGGGGTTAAAAAAAAACCCGTGAGACAGGGGACATAATCAAGACATATGATCTGCTGGTCTCCCCTTTTGTTCTTTTAGCCCGTGCAGCATCATTTGCATATTCCTGATCTGGCTGTCGCCACCGGGGGACCCACCATCTGGCGTCAGGCCGTGTCGGCTTTTAGCATACTGTTGTACGAGGGTCGGATGATTTGTCTGGGACCCCCCGCGGGTCCCGTAGTGCCTATCTGATTCCTCCCCGCGATGGTCAGCTGAGGTCGAGGGCAAAAGCCTTGAGAGGCTGGACGTGGTCGATAAGGACAGAGCGAGGGGCGGGGGTGGAGGAGACAACCGCTCTGAGAAGGATTTCCGATTCATGGAGTCGGCGGCCAGCATCAGCTGGTGCCGATAGTAGTGGTGGTGAAAATGGTGATGCTGGTGTAGCGATGACGGCATGGGCATGCTCCTGTGGTGGTAGCCCATCTGCGAGTTGGACAGAAGCGTCTTCTCGCGCTGGAACTGCAAATGCGCGGCTTTTTCGATTTCCGCCTTTTTGTAGGTATACAGGGGTGGTCGGCCGGCCGACGTGATGTCACAGCGCCTCTCGTGAGGAGAGCTTTTGCCGCTGTCGTCCGGATTGATGAGCGATGAGATGTCGTAGGATTTCCTAGAGGGTTCGTGTTTTACGGTAATATCCGTTTTCTCGTTTCCACGCCGATTGTATATCATTGATTCGGGTTTTCCCGTTGTTTGGCTAATGATTTTATCGCAGATGCCGATGGGTGACGGCGGTGACAAAGATCTGGGTCGCGTCTCGGTCTTAATGTTTCGAAACTTCTCCTTGAGAACATCGGTGTTTGCCCACGACAGATGCTCTTCGTCTGCTGGCGTTTCTCGTGAAAGTCTCGGTTGCACAGAGCCCCCAAAGCAATCCCCATCACCGAATCGGAGCAACCTCGTGTGGCTAGTGTCCGAATGTGAGCGGTGGTGAGAAACCCCCGTAGATGTCGGTGCGCAATCTTCCCTGCCCTGTGCAACGCGCAGTTTGTGTGCCATGTCAGACACTTTTATTGAATGTTCCCCGGCCGTGTGTTGTACAACAGCCGTGACGGCGGTAGCTGCCGCAGCGGCCGCTGCATCCGCTGCCGCTTTGGCCGCTGCAGCGGCAGCGACAGCACCTGGTGGTGTTGCTGGGTGGGAAAACGGGTAACGAAGGTGCGTAGCGTTAGCCACTGTCTCCTTGAGAGAGTTTTTGAAAAATGAATCTGGATAGTGATATGGCGTGTCTCTTATCGGTGGCGGGAAATTGTGGATCGGAAAGTAAAACGGTAAACGTCTCGATAACGAGTCCTGGTCCTGAAATGTTCCAGACCCCGAGCCCAGAAGCGAGGGAAACGGGAAAGGTATCGAAGGCAATCCCGATGAACCCGATCCCGTTAACGCCGATGGAAATATACCCCCTCCCAAATTCATACCGGGGTATAGAAGAGGATGGTACAGTCCACTGTTGAAATGGAGTTGAAGATTGGCGTCGTTGCTGCCTGCGGCCACCCCGTAGTTGAGCCTGTCGTAATTCAAGGATTCGCTCCTCACAGACGTTGCCATGTTGAACGCGCTTTTATCGCCAAGCAAAGAGACGCCGGTGTCGATTTCCCCGGGTTCCGAGTCGTAACTTCTCCGAGACGGGCTCGGGCTTTCTCGGGACCTGGGGCTGCCTCTTTCAGAGCCGTTATCTGAATCGCCGGTCATCTCTCGTCTGACGATATCAGTCGTGCTCGTTTCGACTACCTCGTCTGGTTTCAAACTCCTTATCGGCGAGCCTGTCTCATCCCCGCTGGCTGGATGGAGAGCTGACGAGCTCGTCTTGACATCCCCGACAGAGCTCGCCAACGAACCGAAGGCTCTACTCCTCCACGACTGGTGACTTCCGTTCACGTGATCAGCGCCCAGATCGCGCGAGATCGATCCGTTCAGTGAGTTTTCGATTGACCTACTTTCCGAGGCGGGATCCAGGAAATGGTTTCTCGCCTGCCTGACTCTCGACGCGCCGTCGTCTTGGAAGTTGTCGACCCCGGTCTTGAACATAGCAGCTGATTTGCTACATGAGTCTTTTTTGACGTGGTCTTTGTCTTTTTTTTTTTATTGCATGTGGAGAAAATATAATACAAGCGATAAGTAATATTACATTTAAAAACCTTAAAAATTTTGCCTGCAGCCGTATCACGATTACATAAACAAAAACATGACAAAATATTATCAAAGGTATATAAAAAAAAGTAATTATTCTTAAAAAATACTTGTCTCTGTGTATATCCTAATAAAATTAAATAGTAGATACTTAAACAGCATGACTGTCGGCCAATCTCTCCTTCAGATATAAAAAAAAGTTACTTGACCCAGGCGTTAATAGACATTGTTACAACTACTTTATCTTGACTACTTGTTAAACCAACTGAAGAATTAAAAAAACAAAAAAACAAAAAAAAAACAACTGATTTTACTGTGCTAATTATAACTTCCCAGAAGCCATTTAAATTATACTTGATAGTAATGATTATATTATTATTTTTTCGTTTCAGAAATCTGTTTTCTTGTAATAAGTATTACATTTTATAATATTATTAATCATCTGCCGTATGTTCATACCCACACTCATCAACCATCATCATCCTTTAAAAAGTTTCATAATTCGAAACGGGCTGAGCAATATATTTTAAACATACCTGCTTTAAATGGCTCCTCAAATGACAGTCCAGCCTCACTTGGCTGACCAGCCTCACTTGACTGTCCAGCCTCACTTGGCGGTCCCGCCCCACTCCCTGTGCTCACGCGAGGACCGACTCTCCCGGTGACGTCGATGGTGTCGTCGTCGTCCGACCTGTCCACCTCCACGTCAGTTTCTACGTCATCGTCGTCGTCGTCGTCATCGACGTTGTGCACGTCCCCGGTGTCCTCGTCCCCGTCGGGATCGTCGTCCACGTCCACGCTGATGCTGTCACGGGACCCTCGAGAACCGTCCAGGCGAGCCGAGGATTTCTCGAGGGCGTCTCGGGTGTGGGCGTCCTCGTTCCGTGTTTGCTTGGACGGGGAGCATTCATTGGCCGCCTGGACTGCCAGACGCCTGGGACGAAAGAGAAATCGATAACAATAATTTTGATATATAATTTATATAAGATAAGATAGATAGATGAGATAAGATATATAAGATAATATGTATACGAATAAAAAAAAATAAATAAAAAGAGATAATAAATATATATATATATATATATATATATATATATATATATATATATATTAAAGATATGATACATAAGACATGATAAGAAAAGAGATAAGATAAGAGATAAAAATAAGAGATAAGATAAAGTATAAGATAAGAGATAATAGAAGAGATAATATATAAGATAAGAGATAAAAATAAGAGATAAGATAAGAGATAAGATAAGAGATAAGATAAGAGATAAGATAAGAGATAAGATTAGAGATAAGATAAGAGATAAGATCAGAGATAAGATCAGAGATAAGATCAGAGGTAAGATCAGAGGTAAGACCAGAGATAATATAAGAGATAAGATAAAAGATTAGATAAGAGATACGATAAGAGGTAAGATAAGAGATAAGATCAGAGATAAGATATTAGATAAGAGATAAAATAAGAGATAATATAAAAGGAACAAGATAAGAGATAAGATAAGAGATAAGATATACGATAATAGCTAAGATAAGAGCTAAGATAAGAGATAAAATAAGAGATAAGATAAAAGATAAAAGATAAGATTCGAGATAAGATAAGTAAGATAAGATGGATAAGATACGATAGAAACTGAAAGATAGATAAGATAACATGGATGAGACACGATAGCTACGGTAAGACATGATAGATAATACACGATCTGAGAAGAGATAAGATAAATTCAGATATGATAAATATAAGATAAGAAGGATAAGATAAGATAGATAAGAAAAGATAGATAAGAGCAAGAAAGTAGGATTCTTTTATTGACAGAAGATAAATGGGAATTTTTTTAAATTTAAAAACTTATTTATTTTTCAGCACATAAATAAATACATAATTTAACAAAGACAACATTTTAAAATTTTGACAATTTTAACAATAAAATATATGGCAGTATTTATGTCATATTTCTGATTCGTAATGTCATCTTTGCAAAATTTTATGTAAATTTCATATATGTAAATACTTGAATATGAGATTTGACATATTTGTGGTGCGTTATAAATGAGATTTGAAACTTGTGGGATTTTACACATGTCAATATTTATTTCATGACTTTATAGACAAATTATTATTTATGGATGTAACATCTATTACGTGTGTGATTTATATTTTACACAAGTTCTTGTATCGAATGTCTTAAGTTGTATAGAAAGTCTGCTAATTGTATATAATGTCTGTTAAGTTATATCGAATGTCTGTTAAGTTATATCGAATGTCTGTTTAATTGTATCGGATGTCGGTTCAATTGTATAGAATGTCTTCTAAATTGTATTGAATGTCTGTTAAATTGTATAGAATGTCTGTTAAATTGCATAGAAAGTCTGTTATATTGTATATAAAAAAGTATGTTATATTGTCCTAAGTGATGTGCTATTTATGTTATTCATATTTTATGATATATGTTTTAGTTATTTTTTGTGTGTTTGTTTTAAATTTTTATTTTAAAAATATAGTTTTGATATGTGTTAATTAAGATTTGTTTCATGATATTTTTTGTTATATCTGTTTGTTATATGAGATTTGTTACATAAGATTTGTTTGATAAGAGTTTTATATTTATTTCTTTATTTATTTAGGCATTTTTATATAGCGCTTACCATAAAGCTCTAAGCGCTTTACAATTATTAAAAGCATGTAAACTAAGTAAAATAAAAATGAGACACTAGGATAGTAACTACTATACTATAGAAACAATGAAAATGGCTATAAAACGAGGACACTTTGACACGTTTTGGCCTATACTTCAGGATCAACCCGAAACAGAAAATGAGGCAGGGCAAGGAGGGTGCATCACAGGACAGAACGTGGGCCCATGGAAGCAGAAGGAGCGTCATATGAAGGTTTTTGTTGATTTTATTGTCCAAATATAAACTAGTTTTGGGGGACAGGGGGGGGGGGTTGGGTTAAAAAATTAGTGTAAATATTTACCAATACAAGATATCAATATAATGCATTGTTTTATATTCTCATAACTTCACTCTATTTGGAGAAATGGCCTATGTAACCCCCCCCCCCTGTTTTCGAAGCTTTAAACATCCCGTGTCACTATAAATTCTTATTGATCTCGACAATTATTACCTTTTTTTAAACAAACAATACAGATTTGTGTGTTTTACCTTAATACCATGAAACCACTTGGTGACCTATGACTTTCTAAACCGGTCTTTTATGTTTCTTCTATGCTCCCTTTTACCCACCCCCCCCCTTTCCCCCACACACACTGTTTACCTCTTCCCCGACCCATCTCGTTTATTGTTCCCCAAGCCCTCAGATGTTTGCTTGCGCGCGCGCTCATCTAATTTGAGGACACTCGGGGGGCTGGTGCGGTACACAAAAACGTCTTGACGAGGGCCCCGTCCACCGGGCGCGCGGCCTGGGCCGTAATCAGTTCAGCGCGAACACAGTCCTGAAACTTCATCCTCGGACAATGAGTTCCATTTCATCTAAGGAGCGCTCCCACTTTAGGGACCGCTACCACCCAAACCCGTTACACTCCCAAACACGCAATCTGTAACCCCCCCCCTCCCCTTCCACCTCCAATGTAATTTACGAAATCAAGGTCTCAGAACAATTTCAAAGGCGTCTCCGTCTTTTTAAACAAAAATAAAAAAAATTAAGATGTCTTTGAAGGAAATGGGCGTGTCGTGTTCATTTGTCGGTCTTGTGCGCCCCCTGGACGCCCCGCGCGTGTCTACAGGTCACCCCCCAATGATATGTGATTAAACCACTGGGGGATGAAATAGGGGAACATTACATTTGGACCCCCCCACCCCCACGATGACTTGTGAAAAGCCGAGCCTCCATTGAGTCGCGAGTGGCGAGACCCTCGATTGCTCGCGCAGGGCAACGGGGATCATTCAGATCGCTTTCCGGTTAGGGTACAAAGGTCAATTAGCATAGATTCAACAGCAATCAACCCGCCATGAACTGTCCGGTCATTTGCACGGAATTCTTCGGAATGGGTCGAGGGCGTGACTTCACGAGAGGGGTTGGGGGGGGTGGGGTGAAACGATTTTCTTTCCCTTCTTTGTAACTTCATTTTCAAATAATGGGCTTGGGGGGGGGGGGGGTTAAGGAAAAGAGAAGATGGTGGATGATCTCGTGAAAAATGAACGCGTCCCTGCAGTCGAGCAAAATAAGGTCCCAAAAAAAATATTAAAAAATAAATCTACATCTTAATGATGGAGAATGTCCCCTTTACTGTTTTAGACCTTTGACAGAAAGAAAGCTGTACACATAGTTCTTAACATAGTTTTGTAAATTAAACC